ATTATATAGACTAACATATTTTAATTTTTCTTGTCATGCCCTCTAATAACCGAAGACAAAGTATGCAAAATTTCTTTAACAGTGATCACTGAACACCCTTCTGGACACACTGATGTAGACAACAGTAATGTTGTGTATTTATATGAACAGTGATCAACTGTGAATATGAAAATAAGTCATGGACCTAGGATTTTAGTTTCAGACAATTGTTTACAGAATTTTCGCAAATCAGATAATATCAAATGAAAATCCCCGGGAAATTTTTGATACATTTCAGAAATTCTTTTCAATAACAGTAGAAAGCCAAGAATTTTATTTACATGTTGTTAAAGTAAGATAATAGGATCTAAATTCTTTAAACTAGTCAAAAGGTTATCCCATAGTATTTTAGGAACATAAAGCACATGATCGCTTGGAATCTTCATAACTGCACGCTGTAACAGATTCGAGTGATTGTTGCATGTACGTACGCATTTATAATAAAACCATGGTTTATCAAACGGCAAATAACTATTGTTGTTTATAAATTCGCGTGATTCTTATTCATGGCATAATATATTAAGCATTTTAAATGGTACATTTCCAATGATTGTCTGCCTAGTTTTTTTTAATAAATTAGCAAAGTAATATAAACTTCAACAATTAAACTCGTCTCATAATCTCTTTGTTTGAATGATCAAGGCATGTTTGAATATCTCCAGCAGTCAGCTTATTCAGCAGCTTCATGAATTCAACTCCTGGTTGGACTACCTGAAGACAAACAGACGATTGTCCTGAACTTAGTTTATCATTATTCATCTAGATAGTAAGTAAACTGACTATTAGAAAGCATACGAAATCGCATATATTCGTAATGTTGATTGACAAAAAAGATTTTCAGTTGTCCTAACTTCGCATCATTCTTGAAGTATACAATGCTATCCATAGAGGCGCCGGAAAATAGTCGTTTTTGTCAGTATTCAACTCCATAAATATCTTCTAACATTTCATGAGCATTTTTTATTGAGTACTCCAAAAAACGGGCGGCCAAACCAAAACATGGCACAAATCCATGAAGTCATTGACGAGTGGACTTAACCATGTCGGTAATTGTCGACTACCTGGTTGGGGTCCGCAAGATGATAATAATCGATGGTTAGAGACCTTGAATGACATGGCTCAAAATCGTTCGCAATGGCGCCGGTGCATTTATTCCTTGTGTTCACTCAAATCCTAATCTTCTGGATTCTTCAACACCTCTAGTTTTGACTAAGCTTTTCTCACTGAATCATACTTCTTGAATAATATCTTCTAATCCTAACCTCTCCGATTACTCCTAATACCTTTACTACCTCTTCTACTATTGGATTTGAATTGACAATTATATCTCTGTGCTGATGTGGTATGGCGACAAGAACTGATGTACTTACGTACGTAGTTCTACGTTGCATCTGACTGACTGACTGATTACAAAAAACTGTTACAAGCTTGTTTACGACCTATTTCTGTTATGAGAAGATGTAGGCAACAAGTACAGAGAGCGTGCAATGAACCAAATGATTAAAATAGGTTTATTTTATCAGTTAATATTAAGGAGTACTTTTTTAAAATAAAAAATCAACTCATTACCTATCTGTTAAGTCTACTGATTATTTTGGAATATTTGGAAGGTTTTCCCGTCAATACAGACAGAACTAGTTGAAGATTGTGTTATCGATTGGCTACAAACGTATTTTCTCCTCCAAATTGGTACATCAATCATGATTGTTTATGAAATTCAATTCAAATTTCAATTATAACATCTATTTAACATTATTCGCTGTGCATGTATGTGCACGTCATTATTGTAAATTATAGCCGTGTTTTACTGAACTGCTATAGAAATTTTGTACTATTCAAATTATATTTTGTTTTTGATAATGAATTGATCACTGAACAAGTGATTAGAAATGTTTTCTACCTAACTGAGCTTCTGGAATGTATTTAGAGCTAATCAAAATGACAATCACTTCTTATGGTGCATAAAAGTAAGTAGAAAATAATTGACAACTATATATATATATTTATGTCTCAGTTGACAAATAAGCATAAAAGATTCCAACTGTGAGAATCGGTTAAACAAAAATATCGTCGTAAATTTGTACTGAATGTGTTTCATTAATTATGAGTATTCACCTAGAACTACTCTATGCAATGTGAGATATAATATCAGTAGTATGGGGGTATTCTGTGACTTAGTAATAATTTGTTCATAGACTTATTAGTTATAAACTTTCAAAGCAACAAGTTGTGTTCATCTATCCTTTTTGATTTACCTTAGTATAAACCATTAATAGTATGTTATTAATAAGCTGTTAAATATACGATGAGATCCTTGACTAGCACGGTTCGTTCTCTTATTAATCTATTGTTTTTGATAATTAAGTGGTAACTAGTTATTACTTTCATTTTAATGGATTTGTTATGTGCCAAACTCCAGTCTGTTTTCATTTGTGTCAGTGTGACCAATCAGAAACTTAGAGTGTAGGTACTTAAGAGTTTTTCCGGTATGTTTCAGTCTCCCAAGTGGCATCACAGAATGATCTTAGTCAGACAACCATTGAAAACTAGGAAGCATTGAATATCACCGGCCAAGTCCTGGGTTCGAGTCCAAATGGTAGGGTAGTACAGGAGTCGCAGATCCTGACGAAACGGCTGACCAATGGCCTCCATGTTTTGCGCTGTTATCGAATCAAGACCGATCAATGATGCTAACTATCTAGTTTATGAGGTTTCAGCAACGTTATTGTAGAAGAGGGATGTCCAAGAAATCGGACTCTAGCGAAAATGAAGTCATTTCATGAAATGTTTATTGTTTGTCTACATTTTATTTTATTTGAATTGCAGATAGAGAATTCGTTTCTGTCAGTTTTGCCAAGTTTCGTCTAATGGTGTTTATTATTATTATTATTTAAGGAATTCTTACACAACAAACATATTTCATTTTAAAGCTTAAGTCAGTCAGTCAGTTACAATGTTGAACTTCGTACGTAGGTACATCAGTTCAGGTTGCCATACCACATCAGCACAGAGACGCAACTGTCAGTTCAAATCAAATAGTGTTAGAGATAGCAGAAGTTTTAGAATTAATGGAGAAGATTAGGATTCGAAGATATGATTCGAGAAGTATAATTCAGTGAGATAAATTTAGAAAGAGAAAGATAGAGATGGTGAGTTAGTAAGAATGTGAGAATTTGAGAGAACATAAAGAGTGGATGCACCTGAGCCATTGCAAATGATTTTGAACCACGTCGTTCAAGGTCTCTAACCATTGGTGACTTTCGTCACGTGAACCTCAACCTGGTAGCCTACATCTACCAACGTGACTCACCTGTTAGTGATTTCATGGATTTGTGCCAAGTTTTGGTCTGGCCGCCCCTAGATTAAAAAGGACTTGATTTAACTGAGTAAACTTGAAAGCGTCATAATCCAGACTGCACTGGCTTACATGAGAGATCTAATTTTGAAAAAGATTTGGTGCTTAAACTATACGCTTCTAAAATCATCTTAATGGTTTTTTCATAGTTCATTTCAAATGATAACTTTTACTGATCCACTGAGCATTTTAAAACCGAATATCTTAATGTCTGCTAGCACTGCAAAATGTTGCAAGTATTTGGCGATCAAATTTTCCCAGTCGCTTATCAATTTTGCTACTGAATTCAAAAGCGTAACCTTGTAATTCACTATTTTTAATGTAAAGTGACTCTATTTAGTTTGTGCCAAGCCCTATAACTATATCTTCAATCATCATGAATGTAACATGACTAGTTCTGGTTGCCTTAAGATTGCCGATTCACTTCAAAGACGAGTTACACCTAGTAAGAAACTAAAGTTTAAAGCTACCTAGTGCTTGGTATCCAACACCTAATATGAATACTTCATATTGAAACGCCACTTTTAAACAACATTATCGCGACGGTGTAAATTAAAAAGCTACCTTTTAATTAGTTAACTAACCATGTCTACAGTCTACGACTTCTGAATTCGTTAATACTCTTCATAAGCATTTAAACAAACATCGTTTGGTTACGTTCAATTCAAATAAAACATGCATACTCTTCTGTTGTTGATCTTTTCTAGAACTTCAATCATGTAGATCGGTCCACTAGAGTTATTGTTTCACTTAATTGAAATAAATGGCATCTGTAAGTTTAGGTGAAGTTGTAAGAATACCAATTCTGACAAATCAATAAAAATATAAACAGAATTTTTTCAATATTACTGTCATGAAAAGACTATAAACATTCCTCAATATCTCTAAGAAAAGAAGTATTGTTCCGAACCATAGTGAGTCAGTCGGCATCTTCAAAAGAAATAGTTATTTACATGTGTAGAACCTGATATCATTGCTTTCTGCTTCAATAGGACTTACTAGACACCGAAAGTTTTGTTGATTTCAGGATTAGTTTCACGGGCTTTTAGAACTTCAACTACAATAAACACAGGTTTACTTTGATTTCTGTAATTAGATCTAACTTACAAAGAAACATTTTGTTCTTGAAGATGTTGACAATTCAACGGTCCTAGTTTCATGGCATCTTTGAAGTCAGTTCATCAATAAACAGAACAACTGTGCAAACTACTAGACTTATCAAATATGAATTATTTATGTTGATAGTAAATAACCTTTCAATTCATATAAACCAGACGTCACAATTGAACTCAACAACCTTCAAGATAGTCATTTAGTGAGTTGTTTCTAAAAATATATACTGGCAATACATAAAGAGATATTTCGCGCCAACTTTACATGCGGAATTTTCATTTAAAACAAAATCTACTTTATTTGGCAGCCTAATAATCGATTAATGACTTGGCGCTTTTGAATTCCACACGTACATGTAAACTCATTACTTTCGCTTTAAAAAAACATTACTCTCTTACGGAAATAAACCAACTATAGAAATCAAATAACATTTGTAGACAAAGAAATTAATGCGTAATAAAAGGACAATAACACAGAAATAAATGGAACTTACGCATAACAAATCATCACTTTATGCATGGCTTCACGTGTTGCATTCAATTGGCCATTCAGTGATCGAATAGCATTGACTAGTTGATTTTCACGTATTTTATGCGTTGCATTCATGTCTGCAATTAAATGTTTGATATATTTTTCTAAACCATAAATCCCTTCACTGGCAATTAATTGATCATTGGATTTGGTAGCATCGACTAAGTGCTGTGTATATACAATGAAATAATGGTCAGACGAATACAATGAGTAAATTTTACAGCTTGTTATAATATTATTATTAGTGAGTAAAAAGCAATCGAAAGGAAATTTTAAAATTCAGCCTTGATATGAGTTGGTATTTTTCAAGAATAAACTTCGTGATTTCCCAGTTTCTTGATAGGGTTCAAATTATTACAAGTCTTTAGTCAACCGATCGAAAATAACGTACTAGCTGGTAAACATGCGTCCTTTTAAGTTCTCATACTGAATTGTCGAATATTGAGATGAAATCTCATTAAAACTAAAGCTTGATTAGTAATCGTAGCAATAGTGCGAGTTCTTGGGATCTAGCATCCCCAACAGTTTGGCTACTTCTAATATTCTGTTAGCCTACTCCAAACTATTTGAAATCACGTATTCAGATAAACAATAACACGTACTACATGTCTGAACTGCCCGATTGAATATGTGCATTACCCAAATGATATCACTGTCACGTTGAGTTAATATATTATTAGGAAAATCATGTCTGTAGCTTTATCTTTAGTATCTTGTGAAAGTTTAACTGTCTTTAAGTAATTTCATATGACTTAGATAAAACTATTCATACAACAACATTGAAAATGTGTATAAGAAGTGATACAGTTAAATTCTTAAAAATATATCTGAATTTATGTCAAAGTCCAAAACGATGCTTATGGAACGAAAAAAAAGCAGTCAATAACTATCTCAATAATATTTTTAATAATTTATTCCAGTATAAAATTATTTCATAAATATTCATTAAATTAATAATTAACTGTAAACAAAACAATTTATACATGAATATTTGATTTGTGATTTACTTTCAAAGAAAAACTTTAACTAATAAATATAATTGACAATTAGAAACTTTTGTTAAGTGAATTTCTTTACGAGAACGAAAAAAAATTACTTGAAATTTATTATCCAAACCATTCTACAATTTACATCAATTTATAGACTAATTATTTTTATATTATACTTTAGAGTTTGTAAACAGCTGATAATTTACATGATTAAAAGATCAATAGTTATGTTCAAATATCAATTGTAAACGTCATCATTAGATAGTTAGTAAAATATTAATATGAAAAAAAATGAATATCATGCAAGGCAAATGGATTAATATTACGACGCAGTGCATTTTGTTCCATGTGACGTGTTTATTATACCGTGTAAACAAAAAAAAATTCAAAGCCGCATGAATGGAAACTGTAACAGACGATAAAGTCCACATTATTGTTGAATAAATAATAATCAGAAATTATGTTAATGACTTGTTCAAAGTGAAGTTTTTAAATCAACAATAACATTGATTTGTGAATAGTCGTTATATGTTTACAAATGAATAATAATGGATTAGTGATCAATTGCAGTGTTTGTCTGATTTTTGTATTATTCTGTGGGTCAAGTTTTTGTAATATAGCTCTAAAGGACTCAGCATCATGTACACTAAGTTGATATATTTGTTAATTGAAGTGACTTGATAGGAAACGCTGCATGACCTAGATTACATCCTAGCTGACACTCATCATCAGTTGCCATAAGGTTCAAATTTCATAGGGAGCATTAGTTCCCCCCCCCCTGAGCATCACAGAAATGTTTTGCTAAAGATTATCTCAACTACCATGAAAACTAGATTATGCAGGGTTTTCATGTTGAGTAAATTTTGATCAGTTAGCATTCATGAACTTAAAGTATATACGATTACAAATCACAGCATAGAACATGTTTTTAGTTGAGTTTGAAAACAAAAAGCAACTTACAGTTATCCCATTTATGTGATAAATTAAACGAGCCTTGAAATAATCTAAGAATCGAGTTAATTTTCGATTTGTATTTGTTAATTCTAGTTGAAGTTGATCACGTTCTTTCATGACTAAATCCAATTTCTTGAATAAAAGGGAAAAAATTATATATATATATATATATATATATATATATATATATATATATAATAGATTAAAGAATGAACCAGCAGTTTGACGAAAAAAATGTAGTATTATATTTTAATTCAGGCTGCTTTAAAAACTTAACATATTAATCAATGATTAAAGTTTTAATGTATCAGTCTTTTTAAAATGACTCAGAAATGGATGATTTATGGATTTATTAAGACTAACTAGTTATTTCAGTGTTCAGTGATGAACTAGACTTGTTAATATGGCATAGTTTAATAATTATTAACCCTATAAATTTATACAGTACATCAGTTTGATTGTATCTAACCTCCTAATGAACTAGTTCTGTACTATGTTGAAATGAATTGAGGATGTCTTTTTTAAAAAGAGGGTTTTATTCATGAAATGATACTATGAAATAATTCAGAGAAAGAATATCTTTCGAATACTGAATCCATGGAATTTTCAAACATTTCTATCAATAAAGTGAAATTCATCAGCTAAAATCATAAGATGATTATGTGCTCACCAGTGACTAGCTTCGTGATGAGATTCACGGGGTTCTGCTGAGAAGACGTGGCCAGTGGCGTCCAACCTTGTCGGGTGTAGGCAGTAAGTAACTACCAAAGACAAATGGGTAAGGTGGCGCTAAATCTCTAGACTGATCAGAGTTAGACATCAGGACCGTCAGATGCCGGCGAAATGTTTCAGAGGTTGGGCGTTTGGGTGTGAAACAGAAGGTCCTGCGTTCGAATCCTGCAAGGTTCAGGATTCGTTGATGCTGACTGTTGGTGAGTTTCATACCAGGACGAAACTGTCGTCCAGTGCTGTCAAGTTTCTATTGGTAATCAGCCGATGACTGACTGATGATTTCAATCATCATCCGTAACTCTGATTGAAAATATCATGAATAATATGACTACAGATTTTAAAATACACTAAAAACAGTAAAGCTTTACAATATTCCTTCCAATTTAGGGAATTTCTTTTTGAACATTGAAGTAAAGTATTTCCATTTCATTCTGAATTTAAGTTGCAAGAATTTTGTGCATTTGAAGTAGTCTATGACTATTTTTTTTAAATATATCAACGATTCTCTATGAGTTATCAAACTTTACTACAAAGAAGACTTGCTTCTTAACGAACTCATTACGAATAGGATGAATAAATAGTGTTCAAAGTAAATTAATTTACTGAGAACACTGTTCGTTATATATTGACGATATACGTTTATGCTTTTTTGTTTATTTGATAAAAAGCAACATTTTTTTCTGAAATGGTGAACTTACTATGTTGAATAATAAACATGATCATATTAATATATATTTATCAATAATTTACAGTCGTGGCGATTCATTGTCAAATTGGTTACTAAAAATACTTTTGAAATTCCAAAAATGTCCAGTCACTAGAATAAGTTTTAACTTGTTCAATTAAAAAAAAATTATTCACTGACGTTTTCAGAATAGTTTTGTATGCCATTCGAATTCAATTTATTGCAAGTTACTCATCTTAAATTCTGTCACTGAATGGTAATAATTTCAAGATGACTTAATCGTTTTTCCAGATTTTTTATAATATAACGGCTTACTAGTGACTATTATTAAGAGATAATCCTAGATAATGCGAGCAAAAGAGACTGAAAAATGTTAATCAGTGCTGGACGTTGGATAATTATCTAGTAAACGTAATAGGAGATGTTTGCGAAATACGGGAAATCGATGTTCTTCAGATATATTTATGTATATCGTTGGATACAACCTTAGTGATCCATAGAGGTTAGATGTCCACTGCGGGAATAAAGGTCTTATATCTGACCGTATCGGTTGGGATATGGATGTGCAACGAAATACCTGTTACTCACTCGCTGGCTGTAAGTAGTTGTCTAACTAATATCACCTAATGATGTAAACTACAAGTGTGTGTAACTTTGTAATGTAATCATAGTATGTTCAATGCATTAAACTAATATTTGGGAAGCAGTTTAGTGTACTATGTCGGTGAGAAATCAAAGTGTTATCTGAACTTTTTGTTGTTGTTTAAAGATTTTCGATTTTGTTGCTTTTTAATCAACAAAGTTTTGCGTTTGATTACAAAGTGAATTAAACAGCCAAACTAATAATTAAGAGTGTTGTTTCATGATGATGATATTAATCGAAAAAAGTAAACAGTAAACATTCTGTTTACACTTGAAATACACTATAATAAATAAATCAACACATAGTGTGAAGATCATTGTTATTATTATTATTATTATTATTTTGCATGTTGTCTGACATTTGAATACAAGACCGGGTTTTGGTGTTTACCTAATGAAGGTGAAGAATGCATCCATTTATGTAAGTTGGTTATTTTCTGTTTTTCGTAATCATACCTGGATAATATGTGGATTTGGAAATGTGAAGAAATAAACATGCCTTGATATGTACACGCTTTCTTTGCCCCTTTTACTAGGGTTTTTAGAGAGTGAACGATGGTAATTTAAATCTGTGTTGTTTACAATCTATTTGTTTTATTTTGTGATGTTTTTGTTTATTCGATTTTATTAGTCAATTTTTAAATGAACCAGGGTTTCAAGTGTCGAATCATTGAAAGTGGAAAACAATAAAGTACACTTGATATAGAATAGATAGAATGTAGTGTGAGCAGTGGAAATCAGAACGCCGATTTCGTTCTATTCGGAACTGGTTAGCTGGATGCTCCGAGACAGTCTAGTTGATATTCGCGTGTAAATTGTGAAAAATATTCAACAAGATGAGATTTGACACTAAATTATCGCATCCAATTAGTTTGACTATAAAGTTTAATCAATATTTTTAAATACATGATGGACGACATCTTACAGGATTAAACAAAGTAAAAAATTATTTATTCTGAATATACAGGATGAATAATTGAGATATTACAGTGTAAGTTTAAGTACAGATATATCCATTATTACATAATTTAACACTTCCAATGTGTTTGGGTACACCTAAATTACATGTTCAACCTTGTCGCGTGTAGGCGGTTACGCACCGAACACGATGGGTGAGGTTGTGCAATATCTTAGATTGATCAAAGTTAGACATTCACACCGTTGGATGCTGGCTCAGTAACTAGAGGTTAGGCGTTCAGGCTTGCTACCGAAGGTCGTGAGTTCAATTACTGTGTGTGTGGAGGTTGCGAATGCTTACTGACAATGAGTCACATACTAGAATGAAACGGCTGCCCATTGCTTTAAAGTTTCTAATAAGTGATCTAACAACGATCGGTTCATGATTTAACTAGTATAAATAAACGTAACTTGTATTAAACATTAAATGAGTTAAAAGCATAGTTAATTCTCCAATCATTTAAAAAACAGATGTTTGACTCATCATTTAGGTATTTAGCGCAGACAATAAAAACACTTCTATTATTTATAAACAACGTATTGCTCATTAATTAATATTCTTGTCGTTGATATTAATTAAGAGAAATTTTGAAAATATTGATAAAGAAAATTTTAGAAATGCGTAATTAATGAATAATGTTTAAGAAAAATAATAATAATAATAAAAAACAGTCTTTATTTATAAAGAAAAAAAATCAATCCATTTACCTTTTCTAAGGAGTTAACTAATGATAAGGATTAATTTACAATTTGCATTTTATTCTTTGTGTGTTTGTTTTTTTAACTTATTTATTTTTGAGAAAATGATGCGTGAGACATACAACATAAAATGTATTCAACTGTCTCTAGAAAAATGAAATCTTTGACAAACATAATTTTAAATACGTCAACTGATTTCGGTTTATGATTAAAGTGTAAGTTAACTTATAATTTTAAATCTACAATATAGTTTGAGGAATGAATGAATCCCCAGTTGAAGTTAAATAAATATTCAGTGTATTAAAAGTCATGACCAGTGGAGTTTAGTCATGTTCGAATGTGAAGCAGCGTTGACCGAAGACAATGGATGAGATTGTGCAAGACTGTGAATTGATTGAAGTTAGATGTTAACACCGTTGGATGTCGGCTCATTGGTTCGGAGATTAGGGGTTTGAGCGCATGGCCTAGGGTTCGATTCCTGCGAGTGATGGAAGACATGGATGCACACTGCTGGTGAGACTCACACCAGGACGTAACGGCCGTCCATTGCTCCCAGCTTTGTAACGGTGGTTTAACATTTATGCAGAAAATAACTCAACCATCTCCACAACCCTATAATACAAATTATTTTCAACCGTCTGGTTTTACAGTAACCTGCTGTTGCATATTAGCTGACCAGCTATCATCAGTATAGATAGAAGTTAGAGAATCTTTAGATACCTAATACACTTTGTGACACTAGAATCCGTGTCAGTCATAATTATAATTGAGGATTAAAACAGTGAACTATTCTGATTTTAATTGAATTTTTAAAGGACTAACATACTTTCATCAGTCAATAATATTTTAGTATTCAATGTCATCCTGTCTATTCTTTATCCTGAATTAAAATGTGATACTAAGAAATACCGATTCTTGCATTATGTTAAACATCAATTTGCATGTACATTTCACTGATGATTAATAAATGTCAGGAAGCCTAAGTTTAAATATTCGAAGATTTTATAAAACCATTTTAAGTCAAACAATATTGTTATGCTCATCGATTGATATGCTTGAAACTATTACGAGTTCACCTTAGTCGGTAAAAGAGAGCAGAGACAAATGATTCTGTGACACAATAGGCTACTTACTCTACTTTGAGCGTTCCAAGGCTCCCTTAACGAAAGTGTACTCCAAAAGCACGCAGAAAATATAAGGTTTTCAAGCACACAAATCGAGTTTATTTGCACAAGATAGAAAACCTTGGAAGAGCCACAAAAATAGCTTACTAAAATAACACATCAACCAATAAAAGTCGAGGATTTTCCTGGTGGGGAATGTAATCTCAAGTTCAACTGATCAGCCCATGTGCGAAAGCATGAAATCAAAAATTAGGACCTTTATCAAGTGAGTTCTGGGGATCTAACGTCCCCAA